CGCCTGGGATCTGAACCCGGGCCGCCAGTAGCGGAGTGTACGCACTTAACCGCTAAGCCATGGGGCCGGCCCCAAATACTCCTCTTATAAAGACGTCTTTCAATCAATTAATGAGTAATTACTGTGTGCCCAGTGGGGCCTGAGCACTGACCTGGGAGCTGCGTACACTGGGGGACAGACAGCCATGGTCTCTGCAGAGCTATAGTGTATGTGAACAGATACTCATTCATTCATTCACTCATTCAGTCATTCATTCCATATACTGAGCACCTGTAAATGCCAGGGCTGTGCTGGATACTAGTTCACTGAGCAGCCACAGATTGCAAATCAGTGTGACAAATTATCAGAGAGGAAGGCATTCAGCATTGTGGAGATAGGACCAGACTTGGGGATGGAGTAGGGAAGGCCTCCTGGAGGAAGGAAGGTCTCAGTGAGACTGCAGATGAGACAGATAAGCCAGACAGCGGAGGTGTGGGTGTGGGAGAGGAAGAAAGTTCCTGTGTGAGCTGGCAGAGAGCAGTGGGGTGTGAGGTAATGTCCTAGTGACCTGCTCACCCCCACTAACTGGCAGTGAGATGTGGGGACATGGCCCTTGGTGCCTCACATCACCCCACTGACTTTGATGGGACAAGAAGTGCTGTGCTTGACAACAGACATGCCCCCACTACCAGTCCGAGGCCTGAACTTCCAGCAACAGAGAAGCATGACTCGGGTGTGTAAGAGCTTCCTATTGGGGTGCAAGGGCTGAGGTATGTGGTTTAGGACCTTTGTATTCATCAGGCAAGCAGGATGCGTTGTTGAGTGAAGAGGAGAAGGAGGAGTGGGAGGAGGCACAGAGAAAAGGAGATCAGAGCTAGAAAAGAGGAGGAGGATGGGGAAGGGGATGGCAAAGCGAGTGGAGATGAGGACACTTTGCTTATTCCCAGCTTTGCCGTGAGCGGGCCAGGCCCCTGGGGTTGATCCAGGCCCTCAGGAATAAGGAGGGCATGTCCTTTGTCTCTGTTCTAGTTGCTTCCTGCCAGACACAAGTGGATTCCCACAGGTAGATTGTTCCAGGTGGTCTTAGCTCCTGTGGGAACTGCCGGGAATACCAGCACCACCGTGAGTGCGGAAGAGCGCATGTCATCCCTGGGCTTGGCTACGCCCTCTGCTTCACATCTCACCCTCCGCTGTGCTGTGAGAGCTAAGGCCCTCTCAGGCAGGGGCCAGGGGTCCTGATGATGCAAAACGGGCTGGGCATTTCACTGTGTAACTGCTTTCTTTCTTTTTTTTTTTTAATAATTTTATTTATTTTTTCCCCCAAAGCCCCAGTAGATAGTTGTATGTCATAGCTGCACTTCCTTCTAGTTGCCCTTTCGTTTTTAAAGTTGCTTTTTATTTCTTCCCATGTGCATGTGTGGCTAATTATGTTGTTGTCTCCTAGGTTAATCTCCTTCCTTGACGAGGCCAAGGAACCAGAAGCACGAGGAGTGACATCTAGCGGCGGGTGGACGGTGGCTGATCAGTTAGGGTCTGTGATCTATGCGCCTGGCTGCAGGTAACATTATCAACTACAACAGAATCCAGCCAGAAGTTACTAAAACAATAGGAAAACTTTTCATCTCACAGAACAAGATGTCTCGAGTTAGATCACTTTCAGATTGGTTAATTCAGTGGCCTGATGACATCATCAAGGAACCAGGTTTTCTGGGTTTTTTTCACCTTGGCGGGGGGCAGTCAAGGAGAGTTCCCTCTGTTCATCAGGAGGAAAACTTCCCAGACTTCCTCTCACATCTCATTGGCTAGAACTTGTTACATGTCACATGCCTACAGAATCTCCAGGGCTGACTTAGACAAATCTCGATTCACTTCCTGGGGCTGGAAGATGTACAGCTTCCTCTGAAGAATAAGATAGGGCTCCGTTGGCAGGAGGAGCAAGCCAAGGGCTGTGTCTGCTCAGAGAAATCAGGATTAGCTGCTTTCATGTCTAAAAGCACTCTGAATGTTCTCCCTCCTACGTCTCCATCATCCACAATCACACACACTCTTCAAGGCCCAACTCAAATGTCATCTTCCCCATGAAGTTTCCCTTATACCTCAAATTAGAATTTATCACTTCTTCCCTAATATGCCCAGAGCCTTTGTATCTCACACGGAACCCCTTTCACAGTCTGCTTTGTATTCACAGGTTTGCCTTAGTCTCTCCTAATTCTGAAGTCCTTGAGAAGAAGGACCACAGATGATTCCTGTCTGTGTGCATAAATCCAGGGACTGGCATGTGTATTGCCTGCTCACAGGAGTTGATCCCATAGGACGGATTTGCTATGAGGCCGGGGACCATTATTTCTGGTTCATCACTGTACACCCAGCTCCCAGTGTAGAATAATAATAGGTTCCACTTTCTGCTTCTGGTCAAGATGGAGTGAGGGAGGGACTGGATTTACCCTCCCATCTGAAACAAAGAAACAAAAACAGACAGAATATATGAAACAACAGTTTTCAAGGCATTGGACACCAGGCAAGGAAGGATGTTGGAAATAAATAAGATGAGTCCTGTGATTGTCCCTGTTTACAGCCTTGGTAGCTTGCAGGCCTCAGTGCAGGGAGGGGGAACTAGGAAGACGCTGAGAGCTGAAAAGAGAAAGGTGAGTGTCCAGAGAGACAAAGAGAGAGTGCTGGAAAGCAGATAGCTGTACAGAGGGGAACCCCAGAGACCTGTGGAGGGTCCCCTTGAGCATTCAGTAGAGTCCTGATCAGTGCACCTGTGGCTGAAGAACAAGCTGTCTGAAAGGATTAGAAGGAACAGCGAGTGCCAGGAACAGCGCCTGTCCCCATCAGCCATACTGGAAAGACTTATAGTTCGGGGGACATGGGGAAGGTCTTGCCTCAGTGGTGGGGAGTAATTAGCCCTAGACCGACCACTGCCCCAGAAAATGCCTCATAAGCATAAAAGCAAGATTTGTTTCCAAGTAACTGAACTTCATCCCAGAAAAAAAAGCATTGGAAAAAAATATCCAGCCCCCAGCAAGGTAAAACTCACAATTACTCACATCCAATCAAACTCAACAAGGCATGAAAACATGGCCCATAATGAGGAGAATAATCCAGCAATAAAAACTGGCCCAGAACCAACATAGGTATTAGAATGAACGGAGAAGAACATTAAAACAGTTGTTATAATTGTATTCAATATGTCTAAAAAGTTCAGAAGAGACAAGGAAGATACAAAAAAGACAGGAATTGGAAGTTTAGAGACTAAAAATGTGATACCTGAGATGAAATATACACCGCATGGGTGTGAAGAAAAACTCTACTGTTTTCGCTTACATTACACAC